TGCTCACCAAGGCTTCGATCCGTGAGACAGCAGGGGCAAGTGACGCGATGGACACATAGCAATCAATCTTGCTTCTGTGACCGATCGATTATGATCAGTATCGGTTGATTCTCAGGCATACCGATCGCTTCCCCACGGCGTGGGAGCGCCCACTTACGGGATTATCCAAACGGGACAGATCAGAATCAATGGATGGCCCCACGACGGGGAGATTTGGCTGCAGGTTACTCGAGACTCTCGTGAAACTCGCGTAGTGGCCCATTTATCTCAAGCGTTCCCCGTACTCATGTTGGGGAAAAGCATTACATCCGAAACCCGGTTGAGAATATTGTCAATATGTCCATCTTGGGGCGGCGCGCTATAGGTCGGAGGAACAGGAACAGGAACAGCCACAGAGGCAAGCCCTGCCGGCGACGGGGAAGCGAAGACTGTGGCCGGAGATAGGTTCGGGGTGGTTGTTGCAGTTTCCGGGACCGATAGCATGTTCTGCTTCTTGCTGTGTGCACGGAATGCGGCACTGACTTCCCGCAGGGCACGGAGCGATGAGGCGAGATGTTTCGCCGAATCAGTACGGTTGTTTCGATCAGCTTCGCCATCGCCATGCACATGGTCGGACAAAACCGCCTCCAGTCTCTGGATAAGATCCCACGTGTGCGGGTGCAATCGCTCATTGTTGTTGGCGACCAAGAGGAAAGCTGACGCGATCGTCCGTTGCAGGCTAATCCATGTGCGGGACGCATGCGCGTTGATCGAATGCAGTTCAATGAATGCCTGGATCGTGTTGCTCAGATTGGTCAAGCAATCTTCCTTGATAATCTCTCGCCGCTGCTCATCCATGTGTGCATCCGGATCCAGTGATACTCTGCACATGAATGATATGAAATACGAGGAATGCAGTCGCAGCTCGGTCCTCTCAATATGCTCCGCCAGCGTGGTACAGCGTTCTTCGAATCGCAGGTGTGGTGCTGCCTCAGCCAGGATCCGTTCAATACGTTGCTTGAACTCCCGGATTTCATGGTACCGGAGGTGGCTATGATGGGTGAACATGAGATTCCGCAACATCTCGAGGATGACGGAGATGACGCGGCACAGCGTCTCGAAGTAACCCCGGTGACCGGGCATGGATTTGGGATCGTACGGAATCTCGGGCTGGCTGATCATGGTGATAGAGGGTCGATCGTACGCCAGGGAAAAATGGCTGTTCTGAAAAGCCATCGCCCACCTATTCTCATGTGTGAGTATTGCTGTCTGTTTCTCGCAAATCGGTAACCACGCCTTACCAGACTCTTCTCCGTGCCGCTTGCACAGCCCGTGAATAACCCGCAGTCTCGACATGCAGACCCAGCACCATACACATGCGCTCGGTCATTCCTACAAATCACAATCAGCTTTCGTCGAACAGTTGACACGGCAGAAACAGCACTCACCAAGCAATGTGTACGAGGCTCCTGCATTCATGTTATAGGAGAGGACGCTCCCAATGACCAGCAAGATTTGGATGATTTCTACGGTCGGCTGAGATACATAATTCAACATGCGCAAGCAATGATAAGCACATGATACTATAGTCGATCAGTCATGTCACAGCAGAGAGGTGGAGGCTGTACGAACCATATACCCACGAGGTCAATTCGCGTTCCTTGCCTGGTAAGTCGGACAATTGACAGCCCGAGGCTAGAACAGCAAAGAGAAGACTCAGGAAGGATACACTCATGCCAAACGGCTTAACAAGACCGTTAGCATCCGGTCGATATACACCACCAACAGCTTGTCGGCCTCGCAACAGGCGCTCCATATTGTCCTCAAGTCTTGCAACATCCGGCAGCACCGGATAAAGCACGGAACCAACGTCTATATAGAATCTCAACATTCTAGGTAGCCGGACCCGTCAGTCATTTCAACCCACAACACGGGTTACAGGAGCCGGGGACTTACTTTCGGCATTGTTCGTCGTCGGGTAGCACGCTACACACGCCGGCGATGTTGAATGTATAAGGGTCGGACGACCAAAGATCTACGAACGGATACGCGGCGGATTCATTCCCCATGGCCAGTTCCGCGAGAAGGTCCTCCTTTGGTAACGCTTGTGCCGTATCCTCCGAGTTCTTCGACTTATCCAAGATGTCGATCAATGCCGATCGTGACCCAATATGGACGGAGCCAGTCTTCATTGTAGTTGAACCAAAAATCCCCTCCGAGGTGGAAGAGACCTCATCCTCCGCTGGGAACACCTCCAATCGGGGTTCGGTGGCTCTTCGCGCCCCATGGGATTGAAACAAGGAGTCCAAACTGCCTAGGATCTCCTCCATGGTCCGCATCTTGGTGTTGATTTCGTCCCATTCCACTTGAGACAAAGTCACGACTTCCGGTAGGCCGTCTTGGGTAGTCGATCCGGTGGAACCCGGGTCGGGGCCGTAGGGAGCATCGCGACCGGACGAGAGTTGGGAGGACGGAGGGAGAAATTGAGGTGTGGTGGTTGTTGAGGCGGTCGCGGGGCCGTATTGGTCGGCGAGGAGCGATCCTCCGGGCCTAGGCGCCGAGGGAGGAGGACGGCCGTAGGAGCAGGTGAAATTGCGCTTGACACAGTTGCTGCATGGCACATTGCGATCACAGCGAACTTTGCTGGCACGACATGGAAGGCAAGTTTTACATTCGCGAGGCCTGCGGCGGATGGGATACGTAGGCATATTGCGGTTAATGGCACGCGTTTGCGCTCTCTCTCACACTCACTCACTCACAGACCCCACTACTCGACAGGGAAACCGAGCAGACGTCAGGATCGGGCGAGTGGATGAGGATGGTCAGGCGAAGAAGGTCTAGTGTGTGAAACTGCGACGGTATACACACTCATCAAGAATAGATATTATGTTACTCGATCGAAGGATAGCGATGCAGGAAAGAAGAGTTGACAGGCCGGAGAGGATGGGAGGTGGGATGGAGGTTTGGATGCTGAGCGAGGGAGAGAGGATCGAAGACGTGCTATTCGCGCGAGGGGAGCTGATAGCGAATGGAATCGAGTTGGGGGGGGGTGGGAGGGCCGAGGTGTCGGGAAGCGAACGCGACAGGTAACGATAGCGTCGAACTGAGCAGGGAAAATTCCGCACGGGGGAGAGGGGGGAGGAGGACGATGAAGGGCCAAGGCACAGCCAGTCAATGGCGTTCAAGCCGGCACAACCAAGGCTGAGGTGACATGTTAGAAGCAGGCGAGGTATCGACCGGTGGGGAGTAAGGGTGAGTGAAAATAAGATAAGTGGTAAGTTAGTGGTGGTGGTGGTGGTGGAGGATAAATGGATAATATTCAGATCGATGCAGGAGCCGATCTTCTTTTTTTGGGGAGGGGGGAGGGAACGGAGAAAAGGGCCCGGGGAAGGAATGATGGAATAGATGAGTGAGTAGTAGCCAGCAAACACGCTGGAGGGGAAATGATGAATTGAATTAATTTCAGCTGGGAATAGATAATAATGGATGGGCTGGATGGATTGGATAAGTTAACAGTAGTGGCTACCTTTTTTTAGTCAGTTTATGTGACTAAATCACTAATACTTAGCTAAGTGGTTCGTGCAAGGGTGTTTTGTTTCCCCCAACTATTGTTCGCTAGTAAATAGGCTTTAGGGGAGGGGATAAGGAAGCGTAGGTAGGTAAGACCGTAAAAGAGATTAGGAAGAGAGACAGGCAGCGTGCTAGAGCAGAGTGACAGAGTGACAGAGTGACAGAAAGCGTGAGACGCGGAATGAACCATAATGGAAGAGAGAGAGAGAGAGAGAGAGTGTGTGTGTGTGTGGCAGTCAACAATGTACGGCGGGAAGGTAATCAAGCTGGAATTCTGCCCGGGTTGGTTGGTCGATTTCGGGTTTAGCGGCGACCCAGCCATTCCCCCACCTCGCCCATCCGAGATGGCGTGGTTTTAGTATCCCAACTAGTGTTGATAGTGTTGATATTCTTCTGCACATTGATCTGGAATGCATACGATATCTCATATCCTCTGTCTTCTACTGTTTCTTCGAGGCTACAGTCTGACTTGAATTCTCTTGTCCTGACATCGGCTTTTTTGTCCAACGAATGAGATTGGATTGAAGCTGTCAGGGAAAGTATTTACTACGTACCTCCAGGCTTAATAGCCACTGCCGGCCACTACCAACCTACATGTGTGGTTGCCTTGCATGATTTCTCCTTCCCCCCCCCCCCCCCCACATCAATATCGCATAAGCATGGACCAGGCGCGGGATCCTATATTCATCTCACTGTTAAGATCGTCCCAACAAAAAAACCAAGCATAAGCGAGTAACTTATTGATTACTTAGTAATTGAACCATAGGTCACTTAAATTAGCTCGTGGCTACAGGTAAGCTCACTTAAGCATAAGGTTGTGTCAGCGGGGTCATGGTCGCTGATCGGATTCGTTCCGACAGCCAGGTTTCGGTTCTCCAGGGGTGAAAGATTATTCGGGATGGTCGAAGGTTGTTCGAGATCAGAAGCTAAGTTGGACAGACACGGTGCTAGCCTGGGGGAGAGAAGAGAGAGTAAGGGCAGATCAGCTGACCCCTGACGTGGTCTGATCCGAGGTACCAAGTGGGTAACAATGTTGGTTGCCTCGCCCATCCGTTGATGCGTACGAGTAGATGGTGGATCACAATAGTGAGTACAAATGCAAAAACAATGTTGATCGTGCTCTGGAGAGAATTCGTGGTATTTCTATTCCAATTTAGTTGGGAGAAAAAAAAAGTTCTATGGTCGTTGCAATCCCACCGGCTCTTGCTCAACACCCCACGCTTGCACATTATGCTTAATTTGACTACTAATTGCATGACTTCATGATGCATCAAAAGCCTCCACATAAAGCTTGTCCGAGACCGTGAAGCGAAGGATAAGCTCGACAACCGTTCGCTCATTGGCGTGCCCGTGGTGTTTGGCCCCGGGTTGAGATTTATAGGTCAGTTTGTAGGGAAGTCGAGACAAAGAAATGGATAGATCGACAGAAAACGCCTGTCCATTCACATCCCTTCGGCCTAAGGAGACGGTCTGAACCCTGCGGAGTGGGGTTCAGATCAAGCAGATCCGGCCTGTCGGGACGCATGGCTGACAAGGACCATCCTGGTAGTAGGTGCGGTTCCGTCATGTCTTGGAAGCCCCCGACGTGGTCGCTGGGGAGACCTGCGGTACAACCCACCAGTCATGCCAGCGGGCTTTGGATCCGACTTCCGGGATTGTGACCCGAAGATTAACCGACTGGGGCGCCTGGGGTTCTTCGCGTTTTCTCGAATCCGCTTGTGCTTTCAAGGCCTTTTTGACGGTTTCGATCGCGATACTGGCACCGATACAGGCCCGCATGGTATCTTTAATGTCTCGCTTCCAGTCTTCCTCGATGGCGAGAGCGGGACTATCCCTCTCATCGGAATCGCGCATGAATGCACCGTTGGCCAGCGTGGCTTCCCAAGCCTTTCGTGCTTCCGAAATGGCTTTAGCGGCACGCTCTAAGACGATATCATCGCTGTCACCTTCTAGTACCGCCTCCCGATGGTACTCGTCGTAAGGAACCAGCTCCGGTAAGGTGATCTGGAGGAAGGGCTTCATGCGGATCTCGTACCTTAACCGGTCGCTGGAGTAGGCCTGGGGTGAAGAAGTGGTTGGCAGGACTCGATGGCGAGCGAGAAGAACGTATAGCGCGTGCAAAGAAATGGCAAATGCATCCACAGCAACAATCTGTGTAGTCATCCTCTCAAGAAGTTGAATAGACCGCTGGAGGATGGTATGGCGCTCGATGGCATCGCGCTGCTTAGCCGCCAGATCCGCCAAATTGCGTTTCGCCGTGGCCACAGTAAAGGTCCTGATTCGATCGATGTGACCGAGGTGGGTAGAGCAAATGTGGGACAGGTACCAATACATGCCAGGTAGTTCTTCAGGCGCGTAAATAGAGAGCTCGAATCCGAGCTGTAAGATCAGACGGAATTGGCTCAATTTATGATGATACGCCCAGCTGCTGAGGGGGTAGGAGTAAGTGGTATCGCCATTGGCTAGCTGCAAAGGGGGCTCATTGCTCAATGTGCGAAGCTGCTCGTCAAGATCTTCGGCCTAGGAACGAGATTAGGCTCCAGCCGCCGCGACAAGGGAAAAGTGGGAACTCACTTCCATTTGCAAATTGTCCCAGTCAACAAGTGTATGACAGACAGTCCGTCGGATACGACAGCGGTTCAAGCAGGCACTCCGGAACGTATCAACAAACGGCTGCACCAGGTTAGCTCAATCACTGGTCATGATAGATGCATTTTGCAGCTTACTTACCTGGGAGAAACGTTTCGTGAAGACATCCATGTGCTGCGCTATCTGGAATCGTGGATCCGAAGGCACTTCGATCTCATCCGCACTGGCTTGCAGAAGTATACTAGACGGAAGAACGATCTGTTCCAGTTCGTCATAGAGGAACTGCTTCACGGGAACCGCTCCAAGTATCGTCCTGTTGCTGACGATAAGGGACTGAACAAGAGATCTTATATAGACGGAAGGCTGAGGCTTTCGCGAAAGCAGAGTCCAGATGACCACCTAAGCAGGTTAGCATCAACTACGATCAGAATGAAACAAATTCTCCGCACCTTCAAATTATACGGCCCTCGGTAGTCAAGAATCTCGAGCAAATCAACAGCATCCTGGCATAATCTTCTCAAATGCGCCAGCGCATCCTCAAAGCTAATCTTGACCATTGGACGAGGAGGAACAGTGCTAGCCAGCTTCCGTTGGATTTTGCAACTGAAGGATTCAGGCACCTCTTTCCCTAGGACAGCTGACTTGCCTAGAAAGTCCAGATGAGATAGACAGCTCAGAAACTGCGCTGTCGATCGTGTCTCTATCACTTCCACATCCTGCTCCAGTCCCCAGAGAAACTCTCGTCGGAAGAGCAAGCGAGCCCGAATGGCTTCCGCCACCTTCTCACCGAGCGTATCCGTGTGTTCGTCAACCCAGCGAATCGCGTGGTCCAAAAGATCATGAAAATGTTTGGAGTCGAATTGTGATAGTAGAGTGCGATTATACAATTGAGTGACGAAGTCCTCCTCCTTGAAGGAAAGCAAACTATGAGTCAGAACCATGTTCAACCAGCAGAGCACGGCAACACCTACCTCAAAATAGTACTCAGTGGTGACTCGCGCATGTACAAAATCGCAACACTTCACAAGCGCGAGGCAGTAAGCACGCAGGACAACATGCACTATATCAGGAACCTTCTTGTTGCTTTGCGACTGTCCCCGGCCAAAATGCGCGTTTTCGAGGGTTTTCGGTACGGGCCATAGCAGCCTATCGAGGTATATAGAAGTGAAAAGGGTCTGGGAAAGGGGGTGACCCATATGCCATGCCATCTGCCATTACGTTGACTCGGTTAGTTCGCGTGCTGCACCTTGAGTAAGACGACCAGGTCAAACCTACCTCGTGACACAACAACTCGTCCATAATCCCCAGAACCTCTTCCGGAGCCAGCTCCCGCATCAAGTCGAAGTCGTCTTCAAGGGCCTGTGCGTGATTCTCTCCGGGGCCCAAGTAGCCACTATCCATCTTCGAGTCCATGATCTGAGGAGCCACAGTATATCAGTCTTGATGTTTGAGGTTCGAGACTATCAGCATGGCTGAGTATCGAGTCGCAACCAACCTCAAGGGCGCCAACGGCCTCGAAGAGCGTAAAGCATTCATCTTTAACCAGCTGACCGGTTCGAAGTTCTATTTTAGAAGGGATAAAGTCGTCAGTACACCACGTATAGGATTTAAAAGCAAGGCCAGCGGGGATGAGATGCTAACTTGAAGCAGCGATTGTGAAGTCATCTGTGATGTCGCGCGGGACAACAGACTCTGGAACGACCCGCATTGTCGGGCCTCTTACTTCGTTATTTGGCAGCATGGAAGTAAGCAATCATCTGCAGCCAGCTGCTAGACTTCCGAAGCCGGTCATGGATAGTTGGTTCAATGATTTCAGTGGAGATCGGAGAGGATGCTGGAGAGCGGGCGAGGGGAGGCGGGGAGTCGGGCGGACAGGGCAAAACTTGCGGGAACGCAAGCCCGCACCGGTTGAGCAGGAAGGAGTTCCGAAGGAGCTCTTAAGACCATGCCACAAAAACGACCCCCGAGCATTACGTTTAGCACAACAGGCAATTTACTTTGATCAACCATGAAAGCAGGAGGGACACAGTCTTTTCTATTTATACCTGGTCAACGGGCCAATATTGCTACAGAGATCCAGTCCATTCCTGCATCAGAGTACCTCCCGAGACCTCATCAACCTCTGCCCAGCGCTCATTCTTTGTATTCAGACAGTTGTTCTTGCGGAGAGATAATTTATTTCGACTCAGCCTGGCCGGCGGTGGCCTGGACCTGAGCAAGGTTCTTGACTTCACCCTGCTTGCCGTTCTGGATTGAAGAGTGTGTTAGTCGGGATGCTTTTGTGCCATTGACCTCCGATAACCACCGGAAGGGTGTCCAGATACGAACCTCCCACTTAGCGAAACGCAGGTCCATCTGACCACGGCGCTCAGCGGCAGCACGAGGACCGTCCTTGAGGGAGCGGCGGACGGCGCGAGCGGCGACGGCCAGGTAGCGGTTGTAGCTGTAAAAGTCGGTCATCGCGTTAGTCAGGGTCTATGGTCGGGAGAGCAAGCGGACGTAGAGTGACTAGAAACGTACGTGAGACCAGCGGACTTCCAGGCGAATGCCATTTTGACGGTAGAAGACGAATGAGGGGATTCGGTTTAAGGAGAGGGTATCGCTTTCTCTGTGATGCTTTGCAGACGGTCGAGTTCGGAGGATCGGGAACTCGGGTCATGTGACTCACGTGACATTTCTCGTCACCTGACCGTATCCCGGATGACGCTGACGGGCGGGTGGACCGGACTGGAGTGAATGTATACTTCCAAATCGGGTAACACTATACACAGTCAGGCTGGGCTAAGAGCAAAGAACATGCAGCCTCGCGGTCTTTCTTGGTATGTAATTTTTGAGCCATCCAACATAATTGAGATGCTTGGAATAAGGTGGAAGCTTGGAAACCTAGCATCTCTCGTGTTGAGGGGCTCCTCGAAACCCGGATGTAATAAGCCTGAGGAGGTTGCACCGGGGTAGAGCCTGTTATCGTAGCTATCCTCTTAAACTGATGTGTTACTAGGGAGCTGCACTGCAGCTCAGTCACCTCATCAGAAACCGTGGACCTGCGTAGATTGGTATCATCCATATTAGCCTTAACACTCCGGTCACTTACATAAAAGAATAACCTTCCATTGGGATCGCCGAGACGAGCTTACAAACGGAATATCACAGATTGTGATTAGATCGTTGTTATCAGATGAGACGCGGGTCTTAGACGCGGGCCCTGAAAATTTGAGCAGTGTGTTCCCCTGGAAACTTTTTGATATTAACCACTGCTCCAATCGTTGTGCGTTTGCTCAACATGTAATCTGTGGTCAGGTCCTGTCTGTTTCATGAGTGAGCTTTCACTCACCTAAGCTCACCTTACTTCTTTATCTTCTTTCATATCACTCTCTTCCTTAATCTCAAATCTGCAGGATCTACATTGGTAAGTGAGTCCTATCGACTACTTCTAATCTGCAAAATACATCTCTCTCTCTCTCTCTCTCTCCAGACGTGTAACCGATAACTTCTTATCCTTTACATGCATCTCATTATATGAGGGCTAACTGACGTGATTCTCACGCAGAAATCAATCGGCGAGAAAAGCCCAGGCAGGTTCTGATTGGATCTAGACAACGGTATTGGTTCTCTCGTTGGCTTTCAAGTGCTATCTGTGACCTTGAATGAGGCGTATATTGAGAGCTCGCACAGGGTACAATGAGCTCCTCTCGCAAGTCGTCGAACAGGCCAAAAAAACGCGTTCTGGTACGATGGGATGGTATATATACCTTTTTCTCTCTGCCTTCGACACTCATTTTCTTGTCAACCCATAAGCTAACAAATGAAGAAAACCTGAACGAGCTTCTTCTCCTGACTGTACAATCTGTTTGTAACATCCAGTCCGTGAAGATTCCATGGACCGAGGTTGCCAGCACCATGGGACACAATGTCACCGAGGGAGCTATCATCCAGCACTTGGCAAAGCTTCGCAGCCGTAGGGTTGCTGCTGGCAAACCTGTGCCTCCGCCCCTGCGACGTGGCGGCCTTGGTGCCCCGAGCAAACCAACTGAAGCGACATCAGGCAAGAATACGCCAGACAGCAAGCCTCAGCGAGTCACCACAGGAGCGAAGGACAATGGTGAGACGGGAGCAAGTGATCTCGCGGACGTAGACTCATCTTCGGATGAAGACTATGTGGAGGGAAGAGCATCCAAGTCACGCAAGAAAAAAACCAACACGGCCGGCTCACGGGCCCGACGTAAGCGCAAGCCCATTGTCAAATCAGAACGCGATACTGGTGGGTATGACTCGGATGAAGAAGATGAAGACGACAGTCTCTTGGTCCCTGGCGCGGAGTTTCTTGATTGCCCGAATAGCATGAGCTCACCCCCCGAGCGTCAGGTGGGGGGCCCGAAAGATAACCAACCCAGGAAGATAATCGTACTCAAGTATGCAAAACATACCAATCAAGCTTCTACTGGTGACACCTCGGAGCCTGTCTTGGGTTCGACGTCTAATGATGCTTTCATTGCATCGGGCTATACATTGCAACAGCAACCTGCAGGGGCTAGTCAGTTCCCAATTCAGAGCCAAGCCCCCTCAGCCAACCTATCTGAAACTTTCTATCAGAACGCTGTGTCCTCGGCGGACAGCTATATGCACTTACAACCTGGTGATTCTGGACACCATCCCTCAACCCTCTGGTTCAACGACGCTACTCTTGGATATCCCAATGCTGTTTACCACGGGCTTTCCAATCCTGATCTGGATATCGATTTCTCTGGAAACCATATGAGTAACACAAACCAGCAATTCGATCATTTGCTTGGCTTTGACGATGATTTGGTAGGCTAGTTGTTGTCACTCCGGATGACGCTCTTGACATACCAGCACTTCAATGTCTCCTTTTGTAGCGAGACTTCAATGACTTGGTGTCTTTCTTATCGTACAACCAGGCACAGCTCAACATTTTTTCATGCTCGTCTCTGGCAATGATCCTCGTTTTTTCTTATTCTCTACTAGTCATCTTTCACTGATTGCTGGGCATTCTTTTTTTTTCTTTCTTTTTTCCGAGCTTTAGTCCCAGGCGACGATTCTGACGTTGACAATGGTTCTGTTTTAATAATGCTACCAAAAACATCACTGGCTATTGATGAATAAAAGACAGCATGTTCAATACGATAGTTCTTTTGTAGATCGAGTCCACAGTGACTAGTTAACTTAACTTACAGTACGTTTGTAAGCAAGAGCCGATCATCGGGCAAGTGTTCTGCCAGTGACATCCGACGAGCCGGGCGATTTCCCTCGGATACCCGGTGGCCACGTGATCTTCTAGGAGCTTCTGCCAGCCAAGACAATCCGGGGATCGAGAACCGCCTGGAAAATTTTCGAGACTTTGGCTTCATCTCCATCTTCTTTCATCTCTCCCCATCCTCCTCTTTTCTTCTCTACCTCTTCTCCCTCATTACCCGTCCTTGCTCTGAGAGTTCCGACTGGGCTGACTCTGTTTGATTGACCTCATTATCTTATTCTGTCTGTTTTCTGTCTATTAATTCACCCCCTTCCTCAAGATGCAGAGAGCTCTCGGTTCCAGGACTTCTGTCCTTTCCGCTGCTTCTAAGCGCGCTCCCCTCTACAGATCCTCCGGTGTTAACCTGCAACAGCAGCGTTTCGCCCACAAGGTATGCTCCTCTCGCCTCAGCAAGATGCCGATCCGTGTATGCCGATGAGTCAATCCGCAGCCTTGCTAACTTCGTGTAGGAGCTCAAGTTCGGCGTTGAGGCTCGTGCCCAGCTCCTCAAGGGTGTCGACACTCTTGCCAAGGCTGTCACCTCCACTCTTGGTCCTAAGGGTCGCAATGTCCTGATTGAGTCTCCCTACGGCTCTCCCAAGATCACCAAGGGTAAGCCATCGCCCTACATTCTCACTTTCGATCAAAGGAGACCATCCCCGTACTAACGTGTGTAGACGGTGTGAGTGTCGCCAAGGCCATCACCCTTCAGGACAAGTTCGAGAACCTCGGTGCCCGCCTCCTTCAGGATGTTGCCTCCAAGACCAACGAGCTTGCTGGTGACGGTACCACCACCGCCACCGTTCTCGCCCGTGCTATCTTCTCCGAGACCGTCAAGAACGTTGCCGCTGGCTGCAACCCCATGGATCTCCGCCGCGGTATCCAGGCTGCCGTCGAGGCCGTCGTCGACTACCTCCAGCAGAACAAGCGTGACATCACCACTGGTGAGGAGATCGCCCAGGTCGCTACCATCTCCGCCAACGGTGACACCCACGTCGGTAAGCTCATCTCCACCGCTATGGAGCGTGTTGGCAAGGAGGGTGTCATCACCGTCAAGGAGGGCAAGACTCTTGAGGACGAGCTTGAGATCACCGAGGGTATGCGCTTCGACCGCGGTTTCACCTCCCCCTACTTCATCACCGACACCAAGGCCCAGAAGGTCGAGTTCGAGAAGCCCTTGATCCTGCTCTCCGAGAAGAAGATCTCCGCTGTCCAGGACATCATCCCTGCCCTTGAGGCCTCCACCACCCTCCGCCGTCCCCTCGTCATCATCGCTGAGGACATTGAGGGCGAGGCTCTTGCCGTCTGCATTCTGAACAAGCTCCGTGGTCAGCTCCAGGTTGCTGCCGTCAAGGCTCCCGGCTTCGGTGACAACCGCAAGAGCATCCTCGGTGACTTGGCCGTCCTCACCAACGGTACCGTCTTCACTGACGAGCTCGACATCAAGCTTGAGAAGCTCACCCCTGACATGCTCGGATCCACTGGCTCCATCACCATCACTAAGGAGGACACCATCATCCTCAACGGTGAGGGTAGCAAGGACAGCATCGCTCAGCGCTGCGAGCAGATCCGTGGCGTCATGGCCGACCCAGGTACCTCTGAGTACGAGAAGGAGAAGCTTCAGGAGCGTCTTGCCAAGCTCTCCGGTGGTGTTGCCGTCATCAAGGTCGGTGGTGCCTCCGAGGTTGAGGTTGGTGAGAAGAAGGACCGTGTCGTCGATGCCCTGAACGCCACCCGCGCCGCCGTTGAGCAGGGTATCCTCCCCGGCGGTGGTACCGCTCTCCTCAAGGCCTCCGCCAACGGCCTTGGCAACGTCAAGACCGCCAACTTCGACCAGCAGCTCGGTGTCAGCATCATCAAGAACGCCATCACCCGCCCTGCTCGCACCATTGTCGAGAACGCCGGTCTCGAGGGCAGCGTCATCGTTGGCAAGCTCACCGATGAGTTCGCCGGTGACTTCAACCGCGGTTTCGACAGCTCCAAGGGCGAGTACGTCGACATGATCGCCACCGGTATCGTCGACCCCCTCAAGGTTGTCCGCACCTCCCTGGTTGACGCCAGCGGTGTCGCCTCCCTCCTCGGTACCACCGAGGTCGCCATTGTTGAGGCCCCTGAGGAGAAGGGCCCTGCTGCCCCTGGTGGTGGCATGGGTGGCATGGGCGGCATGGGCGGTATGGGCGGTGGCATGTTCTAAGCTGCTTCTGCCGCTTCTGCTACCCCATCCTCGTCTCCTATCTACCCTTAAACCTTACGTCCTTGTTTCTGAAAGGTTTCTCCTTCAAGCGTGTTGTTGCATAGTCCGGGTTATATCCTGATATATGGTTTCTGTTTCTTTTCTTTTTCTTAATGTGTCGCATGTCTTGTCTAAATCCTCCTTCCTATCTTACATCCGATCCTATCCTCCTTTTCCTCCTTTTCTTCTCCACTGGGATCGGATGCCATACTCATACCATCTCCACTCCGCTATCTTGGACACAAAAGTTCTCACGGAGTCCTGTGTACCATACCATGTATTTTATGTGTAACACCACGGCCGTTAGCTCTGTCGTGGTGACTGCGTCAATTATACTTTAATCGTTCAAAATCCTTGTGTCCGATCAATCACTGTAGAACCTCGTTAGAACGATTCAGTTGTGGACTCGTATATGTTTCTATTATTCTCAAATATTGCTTTGTAGGTATAGTGTAATTCCGCAGACACGTTGTTGGAGATTTCGGGAATTTACTAGAGATAAACTTCGTGAATCAGTCTGCGCCGATGATTCTCTGTATTATTGTCGATATTCGTCTCGGAGTTCGTTGGGTTCCGGATTTGGTCATAAGGCTGAGGGGCACGACAAGGCTGATAGAATAGTTCACTTAGTGAGTTCTTGGACTCAGCCGGGCCAAGTCACCTGCCCCGGAGGAGTCAACATTGTGTCAGATGATGGTGATTGTCGCTCCGTCTGCTTTTAAGACCTCATTCCCCCTCTGGTCGGCAGGCATCCTTCCTTCGCGCTTCACAATGTCTCCACCCTTCAGTGTTTCCAGAAGGGAAGTGCATCATGGCAGTTCCCAACGATGAGCGGCGTTCACAAGTCGAGACAACAGTCGAGTAAGCAAGCATCGATCTTCCCTGTTTCCACATTACGCGAGGAGGTCATTCTCACACATCAATACGAAATTAGTATTGTCGCCGTTCCAGCAATTGGCGCAGATCCAGAAAAGGCATGGAGCGATGAGGGGGCGGCCACGCCTTGGCTTCACTCCGAACTGACGAAACACATTCAAAATGCCCGTGTGATACTAATTGATCATGGGAGATTGGGGCCGCAGGATGACTTGGAATCCCTGGCGGACAAGTTGCTAAATCAAGTACTTCAGAAACGCCAGGCGACTGTATGAATTCTGTATCTCTTTCTTCGATGGCTACATTGAAGCTGATCTGATTATCTATGCCCAGAGCCCACGGCGGCCTATCTTTTTCATCTGCCATAGCACTGGTGGCCTGGTTGCTAAATCAGCGCTTGTCGCGGCGAGTCAGAAAGCATCCAATATTGAATCAATATGGTCAAGTTGTTATGGGATTGCCTTTTTGGCCAGTCCACATTTCGGCTCGAGCTACCTCTCAGCACCCGAATTCACCAACAGCGTTCACCACCTGATGCGACTGAAGCACCATATTCCGCCCGGAATGCAAGAGATCTTCAGGCCAAGACATCCCCATTTGATACGCCTTTGGAGTCAATTCAAGTCTATCTCAGCAGACATGAAGCTGTGGTCTTTTCTGGAGACGCTTGACTCCGAAATCAGCATCGTTGACCACGAAACAGGGACTGCTGTCGAAATGCACGTTCCCATTACCTCGATTCGGTCAGGAATATTGGACTTTGAGCACGAGAAGGTCATTCCTTTGACGGCCGATCATATTGGAACCGCTTGTTTCAGGGGTCAAGAGCTAACGACAAGGTTGAACTTCATCAATGAGCTCCAGTCAGCTATTTCTATGGCTGTGATGCTGTCTAAGATGAACGATGCCCCCATGGATGTGGACCAGGAAGTCATGATTCAGGTCAGTGGATTCTTTGAAGACACGGCTCGAGGCGTCAGCGACGAAACACCGCTCAAGCTTTGGTCCACAAAAGCACCACTGAAGGACTATCTCGCATCTGGACCATCGACGTGCCTCAAGGATCGACTTCAAAAAACAAGTGGTATTCCTGCTGGCCTTCTCGATGATTCTTCAATTAGCAGCTTCGATAGTAGGCCCACGTCTGCGCACGTCCGATCGTCAATTGATGGCACTGTGAATCCCACTGCAGCACGGATGACTGAAAGGACTAGATCTGAGCCTATTATGTCAAGGCCACCGCTGAGAGAAAGTCGGAGCTTTATGGCATCCTTTTCTCCTCGAATACATGTCACCGAGCCATTCGGCGAGGGTTACTTTGGTGCGCGGCAAGAGCCGGTCTCAGATTCGCAAAGCCCTATAGAACAGACTCAACATGAAGCTGAGACAGACAATGCCAACGATGATGACATATCTGCTTTCAAGCATCTATCGTGAGTTTCCCCCTTGCTTTTTTGCCGTGCTTACCGCTAAAACTGCTTATACGCAATTTCAGAGCAGGCTCGTCAAACAAATTTAGAACCTTCCTTCCAGTGCCAAAGCTATCAAGAGACAAACAAGACGAAGAACGAGCTGAAAAGCCGCGGAGAATACCTCGATTTGATCGACCAGAACCAGGTAGTGAGAAACTTCTCTGGATCCATGTGCCCTATACGCACACCGGATGGGTCCCTCCAATTCTAGCCCGGGCCTGTCGCGAGCAAGATAAGAAGACCTTGTAAGTTCTTGAATTGTATACTTAAACATCTTATTCTCCCTGCTAAAGCATGACTTGCCCGGCACCAGCTTCGAGAAGCTCATGGACGAAGAGCATTGGTACTCGAACCTCATCAGAGCCCGTCATTTAGAGCCACATGCACGTTACGTGCGGCCGGCCTGCATCCATTTCAAGCAAGAACCGCATACAACTTTGGGTGCTCAAGAGGAAGAACATGACCCTAGACTAGCACTATATGTAAGTCAAAACACCTGCATGATTTCTGGCCCTCACTGATGGATTTTCCGCCCAGGTTCCTTACGTATGTACATCATGGCACCGAGCCCTGTTGTTGCATTCTAATCATTGCTTAGCTTCACTGGGACACTTACTCGAATCTGGTCCATCGACGCAAAATGGTTGAAGAACGGCTCAAGCAGGGCAGGTTTAGGCCTGTGCCTCACAGTATTTCGACGGCGAGTCTAGAATCGAAGCTGATCTGGAAACTCTTGGGCAATGAGCCTCCGATTCATATACGCAGGACTTTAGACCAATTTGGGTATCCCAACCTTAGATCAACAGTAGCGCGAGACGACGATCAAATGCTGTGGAAACGTACGAAGAAAAAGGTCAACTTGAGCGAGTTCAACAGCGCCTTACACGTCGAGGACGACTCGGACAAACACGGCCCGTTCATGGATGGAAAAGTGCTCATGGTCGATCAGCTTTGGCTTTGGATTGTCGACGAGAAGACTGTGGTAACATTCTTCCCTCATCAAGAAGCCACTACAGCCGAAGGAAAGCTCTATGAGCAATCGAACCTTTACAATAGCATCTACAATGAGTTGAATGGCGATTTGGCCAGACGCTTCGAGACAGCGGGTGATCTTGCTGCCTTGATTGTGTTACATGCAGCTACTGTTCTGCTTGATCGAACGTTGCATCGCGATCTGCAAATTCTCCGCATTTTCGAAGAGTCCATCAGCATCCTGGTAAGCTTTGGGCCGTTCGCTTCTTGGGACACGTACACAACTCACACGCTTCAGACCGAATCCATGACGAAATCGTTCAAACGCTTTCGCAACAGAGGTTTCATCACGCGCCCTGCAGATTTCAACAAGAACGCCGATGGAAAGCCCATGTCGGCCGCAGAGCGAGAGGAACGAGACCATGAACTAGCCAGTCGCAACCGCGAAGACCTCTCCACGTTACTGGAACTACGAGACATCATCGACGAGCTAGGAACCATCCTCAAGCTTCTGGACGTGCAAGCCACAACCATCAAAACAATGTCCGGCTACTTCGAGCACAAAGGTTACGGGAAGGTATTCATGGAAGCTTCGTTATCCAGACTCGAAGACTACCGCAACCAAGTCCTAGAGATGAGGGAGAACGCTTCTCTCGCTCAGAAAGCGGTACGCTTGTGTGGTTTCGCCTTAAAAATGAAGCAAGACATCACTAACCACCCCCCAATCCTCAGGTCGAGAACCTCCTCGACCTCAAACAGAAGCAAGCCAATGTAGATGAATCTCGTCTCGCTCGATGGGAAGCAGAGGTTACACAAGATCAGTCCCGATCCGTGATGGTATTCACCATCTTCACCATCATGTCAGTCACTTGCATCAGATTCCAGCCAAAAATATAACCATAGCACCTTTTACTAATGAAAGAGAACATAACCACAGATTCCTCCCCCTCTCCTTTTTCACCTCCCTCTTCGGCATCAACGCCCGCGAGTGGAGCGGGGAATCCACAAACCTCACCCTGGGCCAAATGCTCTACATCTCAGGTAACATCCCCCTTCCAAAACTACCTCTTTCCATCTGCCTATAGTTCCTCGGCACACCTACCCAAGCACCCAGCTCGCTTGCTTGGAGGATTCCCATAGTCACCTCATCCACTGACACGACCAAAAAGGCCCAACCTCCTTCGCGATAATCCTGATCGCCCTCCTCGTCGCCTTCAACGAGCGCCTCCGCGAAACCCTCTGGCGTGCCCAGAAACTCGTTCTCAACCTCCTGGCCGACTCCCTCTTCGCCCCCGTCACCCTCGCCCAGCTGCAGTGGCGCAGGGTCACGCAGCCAACGAACCTGTCGGCCTCCCTGTCCACGCTGGGCAGCAACGGCAGCAACAGCAACAGCAACAGCGCCGCCGAAGAGAGCTCGTCGCTCGGCGGCGCCGGCGGCCGGTTGCAGCGGTATCGGCGGAATCATAATTGGCAGAAGCGGCGGTATACGGGGGAGGATGACTTCTGGCTGCGCCATGAGGATAAGATGATAACGGCGCTGTCGGTGGCGGTTCCGGGCAATGGCAATGGAATGGTGGGGGATTGAGTTGCTAGATGAGATCTTCGATGAGGAGGAGGATGTTTTGGGTTGGGTTGGGTTGGACTGGATTGGGCTGGGTCGGTGATAGGTGGTGCTGAGGTTAAGTTGCATAGCGTGTATGCTCCCTTCTGTATTATGAGACATTGTTCACCCATATCATACTACTAGAGATGTATAGATAGAGCACTACTTGTCGTTACGCCACGCCACGCCACGCCACCACCTGCAGTGATGGGGCGGCTGCACCCAAAGATCTTCGCCTCATTCAGTCAATTTGACATTATACAATTCTGAATATATACTCGGCTCCATAGCCATCGCACAAGGATTCGTATAGACATATAGAGGGGGGGAGTTTTCTGGGTCGCTCTATCGGATATATGATGTTGTACATGAAATCAGAAAACCGTGTTGTACCCAACACAAAATCACTGGCCCACCCTTTTTCAGCGCCATGCAGAAATGGAAGACAAAGAAGAATGAAACCAGATGTAGCAACACTTGGAACAATAAATTAAAGAGGACGAGAAATGTGTCTATGGTTCAGGCTCAATGCAAGAATCACCGAAAGACAGAATGACCAAAAAGGTGGACGGATTGGAAGTGGAGAGAGCAGAGATGGTATCTGTGAAATGTTTACCGAGTTCATCAGACAAGGGTATGTTGCACCCAGGTTGGCTGGCCATTGACAAGCACTTTGGGTATTGTATTCAGTGGGGATTTTTACTTTGTCGTTGCGTTGCGCAGGATGAGGATCTTCGGTGTTGCTATTCTGAAGAGGCGACTTCATCTGCAGACCGAGTCCGAGACTCGTTGACGTTTCGTGCCATCTTCTTTCCGAGCTCGTAGGATGAGATCATGATCGCGCAGGCGGGGGCAACTTTGAGGCAGCGTGCAACCCCGCCACGGAAGAGTCCCGCCATGCCTTCTTCACGGAAAATGTGCATAAGGAATTTGGGCAGGGGTAGTTGTTCAGGGTGGGGTGTCCCCTTCGCACTGTCTCCGAGGGCGCTCGACGCTTCGTCGCCCATGTGTCGGAATACTTGTTGGCGTGTCTTGCCCACGTCAAACGGGGTGGTCACGAAAGCTGCAAGAGAGCCAGAGGACGCTCCTGCAATGAAGCTATCGAGAAATGTTGGAGTGTCGAGGTCGTGTGGTGTTTGGTGGGTGGAGAATGAGATATCGTGTGGAAGGCGATTCATGTAAGCCTTCTTGCGCGCCTCGATGAAGTAGCTCTTGACCTCTTCATAACCCCACCAATATAGGCCGGAGAAAGGTACATCTCGCCACATGGTAAGAGTCAACCCTCTCCAGAGCGAGCTGTAGCCGTTCGCTTGGACCATCTGGTGTAACCCCTCAAGGGTCGCCTTGAAATGCCCTGCCCCTGTACCTGGAGTAGCTTGCAATCGCGTCCGAAACATCTCGATAGGACTAATCGCAGATGCAGCGGCCGTCCTTGCGACCGAACCTGCGACCAGTGGAGCGTATGCGACGGGGACAAGAGCTTTGATAGGGCTTCTGTCATCGGCTCGCAGCCAGTCGTAGCCAGCAAAGTAGATAATATTGGCCGGGATCCCCATCATCAGTGTGGGACTGAGTCCACGCCAGAGCGTCAAGACTCCTTCGTTTCGAGCGATCTTTCGTAGTCCATCCAAGGTCGAGGTAAATGTTCTGCGCTGGGTCTCTTCCACTGCGCACTCCGTCATGGATGCAGCGCCTATGTTACCGGCACCAGGCCCGGCGACACACATCTGTGCATTTTGACCAATCCAAAAGACTTCCCGGCAGCAAGCAGTAACCCCGAGATCTGAAGGGACATTCTTCAGCGAGTGTGTAGTGTGGGAGGCGAATGGGGACGTGTTCTTGACTGAGGATTGGGCTTGCAAGCGAACTCGGACGACATCAAGAGGAGTGGCTACATGAAAGAATTAGCATTCATCTCAGGATCTGACAGAATGATGATGGGCACGAGGTGGCGTACCTAGCAGAGCTGTGAGAACGCTGCCGGTTGTGGCTGAAATCATCTTTTGAGTGATTGAGACATCATCGTGGATAGGTTTGGCGTCCAGAGCCGGGGCAGCCCCTGTTCCAGAAGTAGTCGCCATTGTTGAGGTTTCAAATGATTGCCATGACTCTGTCGAGCCCCCTTGTAAGTTAATCAAGTCGTTCGAGCGATATCGGTCTCCCGGCGCAAGCTCAGTTCGAACAGCGGACATTCATTCAACGCGCTGGAGATTGGGAGAATACGAGGGATGCTCTTGGCTGGTAATGATTCAGTCGGTCTGCACTTCGAATTTGCGATGCCGACTGAAATCTCTGAGATGGCGCGGGTGTGCAAGCAGCAAGGTAGGTAGGTAGGTATGAGTCGAGGATCTGCAATAGATGTAAGAGGGGAGAAACAAATGCGTCAGAGAAAAAGAACGCTCGGGTCGTCGGCGGTCGGCGGTGGCGGCTGGGCCAGACACTAACAGGTTAAGGCCCGGAGATAATATTGATAAGCATTTCCTCCGTCCCTCCCCCTACCCTTCTACTCATACCTACCTACCTACCTACCTACCTACCTACCTTTTCGACCTCACATTTGATCATCAGTCGATCGCTGCAACTAATACAATGGATGTCTGAAAGTTCCCACTCTGTGAAGTCATTAAATTCGGTGTCCTTCTCCGGTCCCTCTAAATTCCAGCCCATTGTTTCTCTAGCCGGATCCGCAAGTCCCGCGCTCAGCCGCTTATCGGTCTGGGGATCTGTCTGCCGAACTTGTCACAACTGTGAGAATGGAGGACAACGCCGAACTCGAGTCTTTTCGACGCCAGTGGCGCGAGGAAGTTGCACAAAAGACGAAACATACAAGGCCCACTCCTGCACAGCCAAGATCGTCCAAGCCTTCAACAGCGCCGCCGAGTCAATTTCCACCTACCCGCCATGAGGCATCACAGCATGAGGAGGAGCACGAAGGGGCTGCCTCGATTGATCACAGTGAAATTGTTCACGGAATGGGTCAACTGAGTGTGCATCCCTCAGACGAAGATGCTTTTCATCATCCAACTTCTCGACATGAACCCAGGTCGGCTCTAGAGCATTTTGAGCGAGCGGTTGAGAAGGAGGCAGAAGGGAAATTAGGAGACAGTGTACAGCACTACCGCAAAGCATACAGAGTAGGTGCCACCCCAAGTGCTCAAAAATCTGTCATGATCGCTGACTTTGGGCTCCCTCCATAGTTGGACTCCGCGGTCGACAAGACATACCGTAACAAGTATTTCGCCACGGCGTGGAAGAAACCTACACAGGCTCCTACAACGGGCGCTACGGCTGGCAAGTCAACCGATCAACAGACCCAAGAGGAAATGCCCGTCTTACCGACACCTGAGCTCATCTCATCTTTCGCTCATCTCCCGATCCCTCAAGCGGAACCGCTGATCGAGAACACTCCACCTCCACCATGTCCTATTTCTCACGTTCCATCGGAGGTTCTAGTCGAGATACTCAGGCATGTGGCACTGATGGATCCGGCGGCTCTCTGCCGAATGGCACTGGTTTGCAAGCGCTTTGCTTACCACTTTGCGCATGAGCAGCATATTTGGAGGCGACTCTGTCAGGGCTCGGAGTTCGGTTTCAAATCTATGCACTATTCATTTGCTTGCGACATTCACGGTAACCCGGAGCATACGCTAGGAACACGCTACACGCCTTTCCCTCGGTCGATGCCTGTTCAGATTCCCGAACCTTTGTCTTCATGGAGTGAGGTCTTCCAAGTGTTTCCCCGGATCCGGTACACGGGTATCTACATTAGCACGGTAAACTACACCCGGCCAGGTGCTGCTGCTGCGTACCAGAATGTCTCATGGAATAGTCCCATCCATATTGTCACGTACTACCGATACCTTCGTTTCTATCCGGACGGCTCCGCAGTCTATCTACTTACTACAGTGGAACCCCGCGAGGTGGTCCCTCACATTAGCAAAGAGAACGTCAAGGTCGCCCGAGCGACGACACAGAAACAACATCCTCGTCACACCTCAGATGCCACTGTAAGCGTCGAATCCACGGATGCCATTCCTCATGTCGCGCTGGAAGCTTTGAGACACGCCTACCGGGGTCGGTGGCGCTTGGCCAAGCCTGCTGCCGACTCTGACTCATCGTCGGAAGACGCGCAGAATGAGTTGCCTACTGCATATGAGTCACTGCCTGACAAGGCTGCCGCATCCCCGTCAGATCCGCGGGACCTTATCATTGAAACCGAAGGCGTAGGTCCGAAGTACATGTATCTCTTGCAACTATCGCTCCGGTCAACCCCGGCAGCCAAATCGAAGCAGCCCAACGTCTCGCCGCCGAATCCATCGAAGAACACGAAGTTGGCTTGGAAGGGATATTGGAGCTACAACAAACTCACCGACGACTGGGCTGAGTTCGGTCTCAAGAATGATCGCTCATTTGTCTTCCGGCGCGTTCGTGGATGGGGCTTAGATTGAACAGAGAAACGATTGAGTGGGTTTTGATTGACGATGTTATTCGCCAAGATATATGTTGGCCACCTAGATTCTTACTAGATATATAAACGTCACAAATTCACGGAACAGCATATCGTATTTCCCCTAGGTAAGGATGAGCGTAAAGACCAAAACGGCACAAAACGGCACAAAGACACCCTCAGAGCACATAAAACTCAGTCAAAACCATCACATATTGGATTAAGTTCTCTCTATACACACCAGTAAAACCCCCTACCCCGACCAGAGAACCGCATTTTTGCTTTTGCTTATCGGCCCAAGTCCAGCCATCCTCACCGCCAAGGGAGCTTATCGATAAGGGGCCGACCGCCGCGGTCCCCCAGCAAAAAATTTCGGGGAAAGTTTTGGGAGGAACGCTTCTCTCCTCCGCTCGGAAGTCTGCAAGAACAACAAAGCCGTCGCAATTCACGCGGCATGGGGATTTGATTTGCGATTAGAATATAACTGCCATCTATCGATCTTCTACTATTTCCAGACGCTCTCTCTATACATTCATTTGCGACATCTTTTTGGGGGGAACGAAACGCAAAATGCCCGAACGGGTCCGCACCGTCTTCGACGACGAGGACAGCGCCATCCCCGTCAGCAAAGCCTCTTCTTCCAACACGAAGCCCGAGGGCAAGGACACGCAAGCGCCTCCGGAACCTGGTCGCACGAAACGGAAGGAATCTGGGGTCGACACGGAGGAGGATGGATCGAAGAAGCAGAAGAAGAAGCAGAAGAACAAGAAGCGGAAGGTCGATGGCGGGGGTACGGGGGTGAAGGAGGAGCCGAACGGCGTGGTGATGAACGCAGATGCAGATGCAGAGAAAGCAGCGCTACGGACGAAGAAGGCCAAGAAGAAGCACGCCGGAGAGGAGGAAGCGAAGCCCGGGGACAGTGGAAAGCCACGACTCCACCACCGCAATCACAACAACACGACAAAACCGAAACACGGATCGGCCAAGAACCACACGTTCGGTCCGCTGCGCGAGAAGGCGCAGGCGCTCTACCAGCTGCGCAAGAACCTGCCGATCTTCCCCCACGCGGACGAGATCCGCGGCCACCTGCGCCGGAACGATGTGATGCTGTTGATCGGAGAGACCGGTAGCGGAAAGAGTACGCAGATCCCGCAGTTTCTGGTCACGGAGCAGTGGTGTCGGCCGGTGAAGGCGATGGTTGCGGAGACGGCGGAGGGCGGGGCGGTGGAGAAGGTGAAGGAGGTGCAGGTGGGCGGATGCATCGCCATCACCCAGCCGAGAAGGGTCGCTGCGATCTCGTTGGCGCGACGTGTCGCGGATGAGATGGGCACGCCGTTGGGGAACTCCTCCCCGGCGAGTCGGGTCGGGTACTCCGTGCGGTTTGACACGTCGACGTCGCCGAGTACGCAGGTCAAGTTCCTGACGGAGGGGATGCTGCTCCAGGAGATGCTGCATGACCCCTGGTTGACCAAGTATAGTGCCATTGTGGTGGATGAGGTGCACGAGCGCGGTATCAATGTGGATCAGGTGCTGGGGTTCTTGAGGAATATGGTATCGGGCAAGCTGGAGGGCCGCGGAGGAGTGCCCTTGAAGGTCGTGGTTATGAGTGCTACGGTTGATATGGAGACCCTCACGGGCTTTTTCCAGGAAGGGTTGCAGGCCCGACGTGCTATTGAAGGGGCTACGGAGGAGAGCAAGGTGGCAGATAGCCCATCCGAAGACAAGAAAGAGGACCAAGGCATCGCCGCGTGCCATATCAAGGGTCGTCAATTTCCAGTGAAGGTCATCTACTCGCCAGAGCCTGTCCATGATTTTATCGACGCAGCGCTCAAGGTGATCTTCAACATTCATTACAAAGAGCCTCTGCCGGGTGACATCCTGGTTTTCTTGACAGGACAGGAGACGGTGGAAGCCCTTGAGAATCTCGTGAATGAGTATGCAGTCGGGATGGACCCCGCCCTTCCTAAAATCCAGGTCCTGCCACTCTTCGCAGCCCTGCCCCAAGCGGCCCAGCAACGAGTCTTCCTTCCGGCGCCGCCTCGAACCCGCAAGATCATTTTGGCCACAAACATTGCCGAAACCTCCGTCACGGTGTCTGGCGTGCGGCATGTGGTTGATTGTGGCAAGGCGAAGGTCAAGCAATTCCGCTCGCGTCTTGGGTTGGATTCCCTGTTAGTTAAGCCGATTTCCAAGTCGGCAGCGATTCAGCGAAAGGGCCGTGCCGGTCGTGAAGCGCCCGGCTCGTGCTACCGACTCTACACAGAGAAGGACTACCTGGACTTGGATGAAACCAACACTCCGGAGATCCTCCGTTGTGATTTGAGTCAAGCGTTGCTCAACATGAAGGCTCGCGGCGTCGACGACATTATGGGATTCCCATTCCTGACGCGACCGCCACGAGAGGCATTGGAGAAGGCGTTGTTGCAGCTGCTGAGCATTGATGCCTTGGAAGAGACCGGCAAGATTAGCCCGATCGGGAAGCACATTGCCAAGCTCCCTCTCACGCCCACACTGGGTCGAGTGCTGCTGGCCGCTTCTGAGTTTGGGACGGATTGTCTGCTAGATGTCATCGATATTATATCATGTCTCAGTGTTGAGAATATCTTTCTGAATACGACCTCGGAGGAAAAGAAAGAGGAGGCGGAGGTTGCGCGACGCGATCTGTATCGGAGAGAAGGCGATCATCTCACCATGATGGCTACAGTGCAAGCTTACGCGGCCGAGAATACGGATCGGAAAGCGTGGGCTGAGAGACATCTCGTCTCCCACCGGGCCATGCAGTCTGTTATGGTATGTCTCCTCTCGTGTGATTAGTGATGCGTCCCGGGTATAGAACTTCCACTAACCATCACGCCTGCAACAGGATGTTCGCAAACAACTTACCGCGCAGTGCCGACAAGCCAAGCTTCTCCCCAACGACACGCGGGGCTCTTCTACCATCAATGACTCCTCCCCGATGTTCATTCTGAAGAGTTTCCTTCGAGGATTCGCTACGAACACGGCGCGCCTCGTACCGGATGGCAGCTATCGTACGGTGGTGGGGAACCAGACAGTGGCGATCCACCCGTCGAGTGTGTTGTTTGGCAAGAAGGTGGAGGCGATCCTGTACAACGAGTTTGTTTTTACGAACCGTAGTTACGCGCGTGGGGTGAGCGCCGTGCAGATGGATTGGGTCGGAGAAGCGTTGTCTGGGTAGGATTTCTTGGTGCTCAGTAGACTATAGGCATCTGCTTGCTTTTCCTGGTCTGCAGCCCCCTAGCCCCTGTAAATAGATAGATGGGTTGCAGCTTTCGATAGACCGACCTATTATACCCACCTTTCCAGACTACTGAAGTCGAATTTGCGTAGAAAGTGGGGTGGGACTTGGCTGCCCCCTGACAGTCAGTCAGCTTCCGCCTTGAACCATGCAGGGAAGATCAAGGATGACATGTCATTGAGATCAGAGGGCAGAGACAGCGGGTGTGGGATGATCAGCACTGGGCTGATCCTTGGTCGAGAAGGAGGGGGAGGGTGACAGGCGAATCTGAAGCGAACGCAGAGAAACATGATTGCCTGAGAGTAATTTTGGAGTACATTGGCGACGAGTTGAGGACAGATAGCGAGGGAGATGGAGATGGAGATGGAAATGGAGATGCGATGGCGGACGTCCGTCGATCATCCGATTCAGCCAAAATGAGGCCAATAGTCAAGAGTAGGGTGGATGCATAGGCCGCATTCGATCACAATAGGATTAACACTATTTTGGATTGAGGAACTCTTTTCATGTTTTCATGTATGTACTCCGTACTCCGTACAGTCCTCCGTACCATAGGTGTGGATGCGATAAGGAAGTTAATGATTGTCTCTTTGTTTGATTGATTAACAGTTGACAGACAGCTGAGCTTGGAGAACAAGTCGTGCCTTCTCTATTGGGTCTGGTGACATGCACTCATCATCCGTTTCTTCTTCGTCTTCGTCTTCTTCCTTCTGCTACTTCGTCTTCCCTGTTCACTTCCCTGCTTTCTTTCTTTCTTTCTTTCATCCTTCCTTCCCTTTTTTTTTCTTCCATCTATTGTTCATTGTCGGATTATGCCACCAAATTTCGTGGCGGGGACGAGAAAGAGATCTGTTTCGGGTGGATGTCGGAGGAATACTCCACGCCATAATCTTCATTCTTATCTCATACACTCATACACATTCACCTAACCTAACCTAACCTAACCTAATCCCACGTCATCCGTAATTCATCATCAGCCCCAACCCCAACAATACACCGCTATCGGACTGATCATCTCTCATCTCCTGTTTCTTTTGCTGCCCTCCCCGTCTAGAAACCTTCTACCCCGTTTCAGATTCCACTTTTGCGACCGGCTTTTATTTTTCCATATTCTTATATACCTGGCAACCTCAGTTTTGTGGCGTCCTCCTCATCTACTCATACTTCCTAAGAATTCTCCTTCGAGCCCCCTCCGTTTGTTCGTCACGCGGGGAAGATCTGCCGCGATCGATAAAGTACCATCTTATCTCTCCTTCCCCCACGTACTCCGTATTGTACGGAGTATCCGCCTCCCCCTTCGACTCAACTACACTGCACTGCCAACTCATGGCTTTTCGTTTACCTCCTCAAGTTCCCCGCCGTCGTCCCTCATATTCGCATTCCCTACCATCTCCAGCCCTTGATATCCCTTCGCCTCTTTCGCAGCTACCGGAGCACGAATCGACAGAATGGGTGCTCTTCTCTCCAACTCAACAACCCTCCACTATCGCCCGCACCCATACTACGTCCACTGATCGCACGCCACGAACATATGCCCGCTTGAGTGATTTCGGCTCTTTTGGCACGGCAACGCGATCGGCCGTGGGTCCGGAAAGTGAGGAGGAAGAAGACGCCCTCGATGAGCCCCTGGACGATGACGGCACCGAGCTAGATAGTCTAGATGATGGGCTCCATGCCTTTCGGGCGCCATCATTAGTACACGACGACCCCGGGGCACCTGTCACACTGCCCGCTCATGACGGACTAGGTAGCTTCCAAGCCTCCAGCGAGACAGTACAACATCAACTGTGGCAACACGAGCAATTTAACCCTCATCGAAGACCCGACTTGCAGCCACGGCGGCGTTCAAGCGTACAACGTCAGCTAGATTCGATCACACGCGACGAAGAAGCAGATGTGGAGCGGGAGCGGTGGCAACGTATTGAGAAATGGCGGATGGAACAAAGTCAGGCACTTTTGAACGAGATCGAGAAGGCCACTCGAAGACGCCGTGATAGCCGTGCTAGTCGGTCCAGTGAACAAGTTGAACAACCGATTCCGCCTGCCGAGTCTTTCGAGCTGTCTCAGACTCCTGCATCTTCTTCGACAGCAGAACAGGAAACTGACAACGATGAATCTCTATGGAAACGCATCACCCGCAAGGTAATTCAAGATCTGATCGGGATCGATGATTCCTTGCTTTCTGTCCTTTTCGGGGAGTCGTTGCCATGTACCGAAGACGGAGAGATGCACACATCAGCGCGGTCGAATAGTGATTTTGACTTCAATGAGGCGATAAACCAGGAGCTGGATTCCGCGTCGGACCAAAGCCCGCCATGGAAGAACAAGCTCCTGCAGCGCATTGCGCGCGAGTTAGGTATACTTGTCCACCAGCTCTGTGAGCATCCCGGTGCATTCACAACCTATCTCAACCTATCCCATGATATCCCCAATCAATATGCTGGCATTCCCCTTGAACGCCTCCCCGAAGAAGACAATCGGTTATCTGCCTTAGCTGAGCCTGCGACTATGATTGAGTCAACAAACAATGCGGAATCAACCTTGTCGCCTCAGTTCACCCCCACTTTGCAGGTTCCTGATAGCCGAGAGCACGCGGCTCTATGGGGTATTGAAGACGATGACGATTTGGTCCGTGGTAGCAGCGGCTCGGCAGGCGATCCATTGTCTGAATCGGCACGTATTCAACAGGAAAGGGAATATTGGGAGCGGGAGTTAGACGTGTCGGTGGTCTTCCGCTACCTACGTAATCGCTTCAGCCAGAGACCTAATGCTACCGACTCGTTCCATAACACGTCGCACCGTCCTACGCAGGATGCCTCTCGCCGCGCCGCAATTATCCGTCAACATCATCCTCTTGTTGCGCGCGCACACGCTCGCTCCCAAGCACAGATCCGACGCCAGTCCCAATACTCTTCCCATCATTCAGGACCGACCGGGGTCTCGTCACCCGTCCTCCGCCAACGATTCCGTCGACCTAGCTCCAGCTGTGCAAGTCAAAGCGCAAAGATGTCTGCTATCTCCAGCCGTCGGACAATGACGGGCTCCAGTCGAAACTACTGGGATATTGGAGGGAGCATTGACAGCGGAAGTGCGGTTGCACCCGTTGCCGCTGGGGTTGGAGCTTGGGGAGACGTGTGATCGGGTCCCTGAGTGTGTAGTTTCTGAGTTGCACATCACATACTGCATGCTGGCCATCGAACATATTTATTATTGTCTCAGACCGGGAGTCTTGGCTACTATTCTTGGGTTTTCACATACCAGCACAACTTTCTGGACTATTGTCGTCTCAGTCACGAGTACATATCTAGCTATTTTTCTTGTTGGGATCATCTCATCTATTCTTCCTATTTTTCCAATTTTATCATTATCATCACCATCAGCGATTTCCTAGAGAGGGGATAGAGGCAACTCATTAAGTCATCAACGGCGAGGTCGGCAGGTGCATACTACCTAGGCGTGTGATATGGTTCGTCAGTGGTCGCAACAAGGGCACAATTCAGCGGGCGTCTGGGTTCAGCGGGGATAGAAACCATTCATATGGGTCAATAGTACGAAGACAGAGATCATTCCAACGAGGCTCATTGTCTCACTATCTGATTTCTGACAGAATGCATCCATCTTTCGGAGTCTCCGAAATGTTGCCAATAATTGACCTGACAATGTGGCTCGCAGATGTATATCGCTTGTGTATCGTTACGGGAACCGCTGCTATCTCTCTGAGAATGAGTGTGTAGATGTCGACTAAGAACAGTGATCATCTCACATGTAATACTTCCGCATTGAATACTACTATGTCGCCTGTCAACGATTCGAAGATTGGGACGTTCTGGATCTACAAAAGTTGGATCAATATGTCCGTCCCCGCTTCGAACCATGATTTTACATATATGGGATCCGAGATCCTCTTAATCATGGTCGAAAACTAGAACTATGATTAGAAATGCCAGACAAGACCACCAACTTCATACCCAGTGGCTATGCGAAGAGGATATTAATCAAGTACATAAATCGCAGCGCATATGAACAAAGTCCCAGTTGCGTGCGTGTTGGGTCTGGACCATACGGGTTGGAGTACTTGTACAGATTCATGGATTGGTTTGATCGATCTGCTTGATCCATCGGGTATTGTACATATAGAGTGGCAGATGACGCAGGATCCGTCTATTGAGTACTAAGCTGGATTGCAAGTCAACCTTGCGGATCACGGTTCGGACTGTAACGAGGGCTGCCTCGTAAGTGTAAGACGGGGATGGAAAGCTGACATGACGTGAGGATCCGCAGGGTGTTATCGGGGTCTACAGAGCGGAGGTATTGTCTACGTCGTGAACCACAGGTTCCGGTTCAACTCCGAGAGCGTACAGATCCAGACACCAAGCAGCTTAGGGGAAAACGGATTCTCTTTCTTTTCTTTCATGTGCCAGAAGAAGGTGGGGGGGGGGGAATCATAATGGTCTCAAAAGGGTAGTTTCCGATCACATTATAAGAAAAAAAAAAGAAAGAACACGATGTAAAATGCTAATCAACATTCTTTTTCCCCAGCATCAACACTCGAACCGGCGACCAGACATCTAAGCCTGGGAGAGGTTCTCGTAGGCGTCGGGGAAACGCTTCATGTTCTCCTCGATGAGACCGTGGCCACGGAGGAACTGGACGTAGGCGCCGTCCTGCTTGAGCTTGCCCTCCTGGCGGAGCTGGACGTAGTCCTCGCGGCGGACGGGGGTGAAGCCCCAGTTCTTGGAGACGATGATCTTCTGGCGACCGGGGAACTTGTACATGGAGCGGCGGAGGGCCTCGATGGCGGTGGCGCGGTTGGAGTCGCGGGTGCGGACGGACAGGATGATCTGGCCGATGTTGACACGGGCGACGGTACCCTGGGGCTTACCGAAGGCACCACGCATACCGGTCTGGAGACGATCGGCTCCGGCGCAGGACAACATCTT